TTATATACTATGCATATACATATATACATAAATAATGAAATATTATTTTTTTTTGAAAGATGTATAAAAAGTATATTTCATAATGTGAGCAGTGCTGAAATTGTGTTCAAACTGTGCAATAAAGACAGACACACTTTTTATTGCCATCGACACGCATTACATACGCTTAGATACACGTGCGAGACGACAGAGCAATAAAAATACGCAAAAGTGTCTGATTTCAATATATTGAACACAATGCTTTCTCTGAAATATACATTTAGATTCCAGTCGATAATGGCAAAACTAGAAATTATCGACATTATCGATATTTGTAGTTACTCGATAGAAATTATCGACATTATCGACATTCATAAATAAATGTTATCGACATTTTTAGTTCCATCTAGATGAGGGCGCAAACCCGTCGGAGTTCGATCTCCGCTTTAGGATCCCCTTAAATTGGACAACTTGGAAAATTATTTCTTATTAGCAGGTGACTTAAATGCGAAACACACAAATTGGAAAAACCCAAACAACAATCCAAGAGGTATTTCGCTTAAAAAATGGATGGATGAAAACAACCTAGTTTATAGAACAAGACTACTAAGCACCAAATATCCATCTTATCCAAACGGTAATTCTTACTTAGATATAGTAATCGCGGACCAGAGATTAATATTTCACGACATCACAAACGACAAAGATCTCAACAATATTCCATACGACAGTGACCATAACGCCGTAAAATTTACAATATCCTTAAATAATGAGAACGGTCTCGAACTTGAACCAAACATAAGAAACTACAAATACAACATAAGTAAAACAAATTGGAAAAAGTTCAGAAAAACATTAAAAAGAAATATCACGAATAATATTCCTAACGACAGAAATCTAACGATACAAGAGATACAGGAATACTTGGAAGAAGCCAACACCAAAATACTAGAAGCCATGGAAAAAACTGTACCTAAAATAAAAGAAAGAGACTCTATCAATCCTTATGTAAACGATAAAATAAAAAAATCTACAAAGAAGCAAAAATAAAATACTTACCAAGATACACCATCTGAACCGCAAATGGCCAGCAATCAACAGGAGTGTAATGAAGAACCTGAAAAAAGAACTGAATAATATTAAAACAAATTTAAAAATAGAATTTTCAAAATTCATCAATATGTACTGGAAAAACAAAATAGAAAACATCCCCAAAAATAACAGCACTAAAATGTTTCCACAGTTAAACAGAATCTTCAGAAAGAAAGACATAGCCGAAATAAACACCCTAAAAATCCCATTAAACTCTCCTATACTAAACGAAGCCAACATCAATCCCATACATCATGAAATAGACGGCAACAATAACATCCTAATCAATACTCTATCGGACAAGCTAAATATCATGGCTGCTCATTTTGCAAGCATCAACAATAAAACATATAATAACGACAGGCCACAATTCAACAAATTAATTG